CTTTAAACCTAGCCAAAAAGCCATATGTGTTGACTGTGAAACACAGTAGACTTTAATAATATGCATTTATGGTGTAATTACTACATTTTCGTGTCAATCCATCTTCATATTTACTGCAAACAATGTGCTTTTACTTTAATTCTTAGCTTGCAGCGCAGCAAAAATAGACTCCATCTCTGCAATGCCGCAGACGCACCGCTGGAACGCGCTGCCGGATGCAACCGTGTGCACGCTTTATTAATCCATTAACATGAGCGCGGAAAAAATACGCAACACATATGCACTGCAAAGTGAGCGAGCGCTGAATGGTTCAACACTGGCAAGAATTAAAAAGTAATGCAATTTATAAACATTAGTGATGATGTGACACTGCCTCGATTGTGCAAGTGGCAATTCCTGTGTCAACCGTACAGTATGCAGCTCGCTTATAGACAGAAACGGTGTGGTGATTTGAAGCCATTTGCGTATTTTGAGAGCGAAAGAGAGCGTGCGCGCACTGTGATTCCCTCACGCTGTTTGTGAAATTACGTCTCACACAAGGTTTTCAAATTACTTTAGAAGTTATTTAATGAAGAAATATACTCACCTTCAGCATTATAATTATTTCACCCGCGCCCGACTGAGACCGAGACTCTGTATGTTGTGCCAAACCTCTCACGGCAGCTTCATCAGCTTGAGATCTGCCTTTTTAGAGACCGCCGATCAATCATCTCAACATGATTATCGGCCGATAGTGATTGGTAGCCGATCAATCGGAGCACCCCTAGTATACAGGGATGAACAATAAAGTTGGCCTGTTGACCTGAGGTCACTGTGAGTTTAAGAGATTGTGTTGGTTGATTTAGGTTTTTTTGTTTTTATTTTTGTTTCTTTTTACATTGGATCAAAAATACAGTAAAAACAGCAAATGTGACATTTTATTACAATTTAAAATAATTTTAATGTACTTTAAGTTGTAATTTATTCCTTTGAAGGCAATGCTGAATTTTCAGGCACCATTACTCCAGTATGCAGTGTCTCATGTTCTATCAGAAATCATTCTAATATGCTGATCTAGTGAACACATTTCTTATAAATGTTGGAAACCGTTTTTGTGGAGAAGATAATTTTCAGTGTTTTTTTTGTTGTTGATTAAATAGAAAGTTCAAAAGAACAGCATTCATTCAATGTATACATTTGTAATGTTTAGCATTTACTGGCCAGTGATATTTTGGCAGTGCAGGTAGTAATCTGAACTTCGAGCAGAAGAAATCCTTATTGTTGAGTTCCTGTTGACTTTATTTATTTTCTTTTATTCAGCTTCACTTTCTTTCGTATGAGCAGTAATGGCAAGGGAAACTAGAGAATATTTAATGACAATACAGATAATTGAAATGGTGCTTTTTTTTCTATATGAAAACTTATATACTGTTCTTGTTTTTGCAGAGTAATGCCTATACGGCCATGTCTGACTCCTACATGCCCAGTTACTACAGCCCCTCGATAGGCTTTACCTATTCACTGAATGAAGCGGCATGGTCTACAGGTGGTGATCCCCCGATGCCTTACCTGGCCTCTTATGGACAGCTTAGCAATGGGGAGCATCACTTTCTACCAGATGCCATGTTCGGCCAGTCTGGGGCCCTGGGGAGCAACCCTTTCCTGGGACAGCACGGCTTCAACTTCTTCCCCAGTGGGATTGACTTCCCTGCCTGGGGGAACAGCAGCTCTCAGGGACAGTCCACACAGAGCTCAGGTTACAGCAGCAGTTACGCCTATGCTCCTAGCACGCTAGGAGGTGCTATGATCGACGGACAGTCTCCCTTTGCAGCCAACGAGCCGCTCAACAAGGCCGTGGGAATGAATAGTTTGGATCAGGGCATGGCGGGGCTGAAGATTGGGGCTGGTGACATGGCACCCAAAGTTGTTGGTTCTGGACTTCCTGGAGGGCCATTAAGTCAGGTATCTGCAGCTCCCACCATGCCTCCTGCCTCCATGGCTCCTGCTAAAACTGCGTCTTGGGCGGACATTGCCAGCAAGCCGGCCAAACCGCAGCCAAAGCTGAAAACCAAGGGGGGACTTGGTGGGACGAATCTGCCGCCGCCTCCGATCAAACATAACATGGATATTGGGACTTGGGACAACAAAGGGACTATGCCTAAACCAGTAGCCCCACAGCAGACTTCCCTGCCCACTAATGGACAGCCGCCAAATCAGTCGTCTCCTCAACCAGGTGCTACTGCCGGCGGGGTGCCGCAGCTGCCCCTCAGCAACGGACAGTTAATGCCTCCCACTGGTCAACTCGGCCAGCACCCTCTTCCTCCAGGTTGCCAGCCTGGTGCTGTCCCACCTCCCCTCTCCCAGGGCCCTTCCGCTCCCCAACCCTCTCAGCCAACCCGCTGGGTGCCCCCGCGTAACCGTGCCAATGGCTTTGGGGATGCAGTGGGCGGACCTGGCCAATCCCCTCCCAATTCAGGAATGGGTGGTGTGGCTGTGCCATTAGAGCCCCACCCAGTTCTGGAGAAACTGCGCATGGTGAACAACTACAATCCCAAGGACTTTGACTGGAACCCAAAGCACGGTCGCGTCTTTATCATCAAGAGCTACTCTGAGGATGACATCCATCGCTCCATTAAGTACAATATCTGGTGCAGCACAGAACATGGCAATAAGCGTCTGGACGCTGCTTACCGTTCACTGGCCAACAAAGGGCCGCTCTACCTGCTCTTCAGCGTGAATGGCAGCGGGCACTTCTGTGGTGTGGCCGAGATGCGCTCACCTGTGGACTACAACACTTGTGCAGGCGTGTGGTCGCAGGACAAGTGGAAGGGTCGCTTCGATGTTCGCTGGATCTTTGTGAAGGACGTTCCAAACAGCCAACTCAGGCACATTCGTCTGGAAAACAACGAGAATAAGCCAGTGACCAACTCCCGTGACACACAGGAGGTACCGCTGGACAAGGCGCGTCAGGTTTTGAAGATCATCGCAAGTTACAAGCACACCACCTCCATTTTTGACGACTTCTCACACTACGAGAAACGTCAGGAAGAGGAGGAGAGTGTAAAAAAGGTAATCTGTTAATGCCGTTGCTCCGTCAGGAATATAAAGCTGATTATTGTTTATCCAGTTCTTCACAAAGATCTTTTGATGTCAGTTTTGAAATGTTAGGACCACTGTTGTTCAATATTTTGATATTGTGAATCTGAAGTCATGCATTTATTTTCTTAGAAATGGAGTTTACCTAATTCAAAAGCATACCCATTTACATTAGGATAATGAATAAAAACACAGTGTTTAGGAATTGCAACCTCAAATGCTGCATTTGTTGCAAATGGTTTGTTGCACAAATAGCTAAGCTACGGAGAGCGAGATTATAAGTATACATAAAACGGTTGTTCTCCCATCATTTGCAAAGTCCGTGTACACCAATTCCCTTAAAAGGGTAGTTCACATGAAAATAAAATTTTCATAATTTACTCTCGTCATTCCAAACCTATTTGAATTTCTGTTGAACAAAAGATATTTAGATTTTTTTTTCATGCAAAAAGGTTCAGTTTTTCCATTTGTATGGGCAAAAATAGGTGAATATATATATATGTATGTGTGTGTTCTGTGGAAGGAAATCATACAGGCTTTAGGGTAGAGACACCAAAGAACTAGCGCTGAGGAAACCAAACTTTGGCATAGAGTTGTGACGGTACGAGTATCGGTACCAAATGGTTCACGGGGCAAATTCCAAATGGAAGTGATCATCCCTATCCCGTTGGAGTGGGAAGTTTGGAGTGAGCGGGGCACGTGCGTGCCATTAAGTAGTCGTTTGGAATGCACATGGCAAAGGGAGTGACGTAATTTCCTCATCTTCAGCTGGCATATTATGACAGCGCAGCACGGTGTTCACTATCATAAATGTCTTTTTATTGTTGTTAGCATAACTGTTGCAAATAAACATACATTTTATATTTTAAAAAGTTTAAAATATGCTATATAATATATAAAAACTATTATATAAAACTTTTTAAAATATACATAAAAAAAAAAATTAAAAAAAAAATGTATATGCTTGCTGATGGACACTGTGCTGCATTGTCACGGGAACATGCCAGCTGAAGATAATGAGGAAATTACGTTACTGTCTTTGCCAAGTGCATTCCAAACGACTACATAATGGCACGCATGTGCCCTGCGCTCTCCAAAGTCCCCACTCCAAGGGGATAGGGATGATCACTTCCATTTGCAATTTGCTCCATGAACCATTTGGTACCGATACTCGTACCGTCACACCCCTACTTTGGCATTGCCTCACATTGCTTGCATCGGGGAAAAAAGTTGCTCTAGAACACACCGGACTGACTACAACCAACGGCCAACTGACGTGTACGCTCTACTGTTTCCAACTAACGTCTACGCTTCCCATACCAGCAGGTGACTGTAGTCTGTATTCAGCATTCAAACGGGGAAACTTGAAGAGCTAGAACAGTGGATATATAAAGCAGTTTTACCGTTGTTTACATCAGCTGCGCTCATTACTGACAGATTACTTCAACGTCTTGATTCCACAAAGCCATGGTATTATTAAAATGATCCTCTGGTCAAATCAGGTGACAAGACAAGTGACAAGAATGACATCAAGTGTCTGTACATTCTTTCTTTACACAGTCATTGGTTTGCTTTTGTAATTTCTGATTTTTTTTTTTTTTCGTGTGCTCATTTTCTAAGCTGAATAGCCAATTGGAGTTGTCTTTCTCGCTGACAAGCTCCATTGCTGATTCAACATTCAGAATCGTCCAAAAAACTAAAGCTGACCGATGCTCAAAAACCACCTGACATTGCCCGACGCACACCATTTAGTGTGTCCTGGGCTTTAAACAACATGAGTAAATTAATCAAATTTATTATTTTTGAGTGAACATCCCTTTTAACTCATGGTGGTGTTAATGGACTTTAAAAGTTTAATTAGAATTAAATCGAATTTAAATCTAATTTTCTCTCTCGGCTTGAATGTTTTTTGGTTTTGGTTTTTTTCAGTAGAATGACAACCTGTCTTTTGGCTTGACCAGAATGTTAGTATGTTAGTCAAATGACGAACATGGGGTTAAAACCACCATGAAAACGTCAACCGCAGGATTTGGGTTACTGTGCATCACTGCAAGAGAACATCTGTGTGTTAAGTTTTTTTCAGCCTCATCAGTTCTCTGGTTAATTGAACAACATTCTGATGGTGCATGTCCATATTTCAGATTTGACCAAACATTAGCATACAATTTTTTTCCCCCTTTTTTTTTTTTTATCCACTAGCAAAATAGTGTGAAAAATGAAAATGCCTCAGCCTCATAAAAGGAGTAGAATTGTGTAATATATGGGTGTGATCACTTTTGTTCTGTATTTTCTTGAATAGTTTAGTGTTTTTGTGCTCTGTCACTTTGCTGTCTTTATAGTGTATAGCAGGGATCCTCAAATCTGGCCCACGAGATCCACTTTCCTGCAGAGTTTAGCTCTAACCCTAATCAAACACACCTGAGCATGCTAATCAATGTCTTCAGGATCATTAGAAAATCACAGGTAGCGGAGTTTGATCAGGGTTGGAGCTAAACTCCGCAGCGCATTGGACCTCCAGGGCAAGATTTGAGGAACCCTGGTGTATAGTATGTGTCTATATATGGAGTTGGAGTTATGTGGTGTACAATGCACTAAGCATATAAAGTATTTGTTTAGTGTGGTGAACAGCATTTATAGAGATACCTGATAGCACATAATTATGTTGAAACAATTGAAAGCCCAGCCCAGATATCCACCATTCTGCTTTGTATAGTGGTGGCACTAATGGTTTTTCTTCTGTGCTGTTGTAGCCGAAAAGAGAGGTATTTTTAGATAATTAATTTCTTTACCATGGTTATGTGGACGAAGTGAATAATGGCTGTAAAGCTCCAGTTCTTATTGCAGTTCTTTCTGTATACGTGGGCTGGCTGGCATCACCAGTTGAGCTCACTGAATGTTTTTAGCAGGTCAGTTCTTCTGTTTGAGTAAGATGTAATTGCTTTATTGTGAAGTGTTGCTTACTGAAATAATACATTATAAAGAGAACACCTTCCAGTGAAATTGTTCAGGTGCATCTTTATTTACTTTTATTGTCCTTTTTCCTAACAAATGCTGGTCGGCTGTAAAGCTCCAGTTCTTATTGCAGTTCTTTCTGTATACGTGGGCTGGCATCACCAGTTGAGCTCACTGAATGTTTTTAGCAGGTCAGTTCTTCTGTTTGAGTAAGATGTAATTGCTTTATTGTGAAGTGTTGCTTACTGAAATAATACATTATAAAGAGAACACCTTCCAGTGAAATTGTTCAGGTGCATCTTTATTTACTTTTATTGTCCTTTTTCCTAACAAATGCTGGTACTGTGGTTCCCCCTCATCTCCCTGCAGTGAATACAGACTTGTTTAAGATTGGCTCTGTTTCACAGTTTGTCCTCCTGCACTATTCTCCAGTATCTTTGAGTGGACATCATTTGTAATTTTAATTTTATTAACATGTTGCACACCTAGGTGTAATATGACTGGAGAAACCTAGCAAAGAAAACTTGGAAATATCTGTAATTTCCAGGCCAGAAAAAAATCTGGGAATTTTTGTAGTGAATATAGATGTTTCTGGTTATGATTGGCTTGAAAAATGTCATTACTTATTAAGGATTGATCACACATTATATCTTAACAATATATAAATATGGTCATTCTCTGTAGTTTGCATTTGAAAAATGTTTGGTATTTCAAGAGGATTTGATTAAATGGTATATTTCTTTTGGGCAGGTTGAGGTTCAGGGGAGTGACCCGTACTCCAGCAACTCCAGTCGGAGCCACTACAGAATGCAGGTGATTACCCCCTTGCTCATATTGAAAGCTATCTGTCAGCATGCTTGTAAATTAGAGTACCTGTGAGCTTGTAAATAATGGGTTTCAACCAATTAGTTCCAGCACCAGGCCCTTAAAGTTGGCCAGACTGGTCATTAGGCATATTATTAAGAAATGTTCTTAAAACATTGTTAAATCATGTAAACAATGTTATAAATGTCCCTGTTTGGCAGGCAGTATTGGCCATGTAACAATAGCATTCAACAGTTTGGGAACAGTACGATTTTTTTTTCTCCTCGTTGTTTTGAAAGTAATTACTACTTTCAAAAACAATTCAAAGAACCCTGAAAAATTATATTTTAAAATAAAGTTATTTTAAATTGTAGTAATATTTCACAATGAAGCTGATTCACTGTTTGATAATAGAAATGCAGATTTAGGTAGGTAACTACCCCCATCTTTTAAAGTGTTTGATTTTAAGTAAAAGCTCTTAATCTTTAGTTTGTTTGTTTTTTATTGATAATTATTTATTTTTTGTTTGGTGCAGTTTTTCTAAGAAATGCTTATAAAAGAGTTAATCACGTAGTTTAAAGATCCGGTCTTTACAGAATTTTTCAAAATGTCCTCCCAGCATGCATTGATAACAGTTGTTTTATTCATTCTCTTTTCCAGGATCGCCAAGGACGTGTGAAGTAACAAGCACTGCTTTGGGCAAAAGACTGACAGGCCCTATTTTTTCTCCACAGTCTTACAACCAGATATTTTCAGAAATTATTTTGGGGAAAGATTTAACCAAGGATTCAAAAAGAGGAAAAACGAAGCTAAATGAAGACTCTTCTTTTGATTTCTGTTGACCTAAAAGACTTCGAACTTGTAGTAAAAGAAATGACACGATTATTCATAGGACTACAACTTAATTCTATAGGATTCTAATAGTGAACCCAGTACTTCTTGTACTTCCCAGTACAACTTTTTTTTGTTTTTGTTCTGCTGCCTTTTTTTTTTTCTCCTAAATTGTTTTTTAGAAAAAAAACGTCTGTTTTTACAGTCCAAACACATGGCTTTGCTTCTCTCTTGCTATATTGAGTTTTTTTTTCTTCTTTTAAATCATTAAGTCTTTCACAGAAGAAAGTAAGTCATCCAGTTTTGGAATGACACAAAGGGTGAGAAAATGAAGACAATATTCTAAAAAAATCCTCCTTTTGACCACAAAGAGTCACAAGTAATGTTGCAGTGCCCTATACAATCAAAGAATCAAACATGGCCCACATGGTGAAGATTGTGACCACCCTTCACTCTCATAAATAAAAAGCTGTCACTGAGGTGGTATCTTTTCAACGTTGGGTCTTCTGTGAAACTTAAAAGGATATATTTTGAGAAATGTCTCTTTTTTTTCTTTCACAGAAGAAAGTAAGTCATCCAGTTTTGGAATGACACAAAGGGTGAGAAAATGAAGACAATATTCTAAAAAATCCTCCTTTTGACCACAAAGAGTCACAAGTAATGTTGCAGTGCCCTATACAATCAAAGAATCAAACATGGCCCACATGGTGAAGATTGTGACCACCCTTCACTCTCATAAATAAAAAGCTGTCACTGAGGTGGTATCTTTTCAAAATTACCTAATTATGTAGCCTAACTTTAAGGTACCAAAATGGACCCTTTAGGTACAAACTTGTAGCCTACCTTTTGAAAAAGTACTGCCCCAGTGACAGTTTTTGTAGCCTTATTTCTGAGTGTTGTTTGTATTGTATTTCTGTGTGCACAACATTAAACCTTGTTTTATGAGGTAAAATCATCAGATACATTTCACACTATAGTGTATATGACCATTTAAAATTTTACTATCCAACGGTTTTGAGCTTTGGTAATTCGTCAAGGGCCACTGTGTCAGTGAGGTCACAGCCATCAATCATTTAAACATTTTAATTGACACTGCAGTAGAGCTCTGCCTCCTTAAGTGCTAAAACCAAGTGTTTACACGTAGCCTTATATGTGTCTGAATCAGTTCTTGTCTGATGTGTGTTTGGTTAGAGTGTATATGTATTTGTGCCTATTTTAGAACATGAGATATTAACATGTCAATTTGGGTACTTTTTGTGTGCGTGTGCATTGTTGATATTGGGGGAGTTTTACGTATGAGGGGGAAATAAGATGCAGCACATGGCTCAACCTGCCGTCTGTCTATACAATGCCGCCTGAGGGGCCCTTCTCTGACCTCAGCTTCTCTCTCCCCAGGGACCCCAAAACCTCTGGGGATCCCCAGACAACATGAAGGTGGGGAGGACAAACTTGTAGCCTACCTTTTGAAAAAGTACTGCCCCAGTGACAGTTTTTGTAGCCTTATTTCTGAGTGTTGTTTGTATTGTATTTCTGTGTGCACAACATTAAACCTTGTTTTATGAGGTAAAATCATCAGATACATTTCACACTATAGTGTATATGACCATTTAAAATTTTACTATCCAATGGTTTTGAGCTTTGGTAATTCGTCAAGGGCCACTGTGTCAGTGAGGTCACAGCCATCAATCATTTAAACATTTTAATTGACACTGCAGTAGAGCTCTGCCTCCTTAAGTGCTAAAACCAAGTGTTTACACGTAGCCTTATATGTGTCTGAATCAGTTCTTGTCTGATGTGTGTTTGGTTAGAGTGTGTATGTATTTGTGCCTATTTTAGAACATGAGATATTAACATGTCAATTTGGGTACTTTTTGTGTGCGTGTGCATTGTTGATATTGGGGGAGTTTTACATATGAGGGGGAAATAAGATGCAGCACATGGCTCAACCTGCCGTCTGTCTATACAATGCCGCCTGAGGGGCCCTTCTCTGACCTCAGCTTCTCTCTCCCCAGGGACCCCAAAACCTCTGGGGATCCCCAGACAACATGAAGGTGGGGAGGGGAACGGCACGTGTCTCTGAGACCACTGATGCGGTGTATGTTCAAGACAGATGCAGTCTAGTCTGTCCATGTGTCTACTGTCATTCTTCTCTGAAAATAGAGCAAACCAAATAGTGTACATGCCTGCTGATGTTTACATTTTACTTCATTTTTTGCTGTTAAAACTGTAGGGTGCCTTCGGTTTTAAAGAAAATCAGAGCCTCAAAAAAATATTGGGAAAATTCGTAATAAACCATTTTGCTTTAGCATGAAAAAGACTAATATATAGGTTTATTCAGCATACTTTTGGATCAATCGCTGTAACAGTGCAGGCCACTGGAAAGTCTGCAGCGATTTTCAGGCTTTTAGATCTCATCCGTGTGGCCGCTGCTAACAGGCTGCACCTGAATAACAAAGAGGCGCAGGCCTGAACTCAATCAGTCTCGGGTTTAAGAGCAATAAATGTTGTGAATTTCTGATTTAGGTTCTTCTTGTACTCCAGACAGTATTATCGCGTTTTATCCTGCTGCCGTTGCTGTCTGGATTGTGTGCGGGGTGAGGGGCGAGGAGCGCGCGCTCAGTTTATCAGTGTGTTGACAGTCGAGTAGCCGCGTGCGTTCAGCGCATTATCAAGAGCGCGCGCGTGTATTTTTTGCCATTAGTAACGCCTGGCCATGTCTGCAGAAGATGCCATTTACATAATAAAATCATTTCTGTATTACACCGAGGGACCGATTTAGGCCTATTTCAAACGAATATGTATATAGTATGGAGGTCGAACGAAAATATGAAAGGGTCCTTTTAAATGTCCTTTCTATTGCATAAAATGTATTTAACAGCGCAAAAAAAAAAAAGTTAAATAGCTCAATTTTAATTAAAAACATTAAGAATAAAAAAAACAATCTGAATTTAGGCTGATTTATTATATTCTTATGCAAAATCTTGCACATTTAACGATGTCTAATTTTCTAGATTTAAATGATCCATTTGTTTATAAGCATCGGCTATTTGTTCATTTTTTTATATAACAAAGAAATTATCCAAATTAATTGTATTCAAAATATTCATTAATTGTAATTTTCTCTTCATTTTTCTGAATGATGTTAAGATGTTTTCCATTTGCTAAATTTTACGAATATTTGTCATGTCTGTGTTTATTAATTTTTTTCTCTGTAGAGGATTTTGAAAGACTAGGCCTAAATTAAAAACAAAAATCATTAAAAAAAACTTTAAAATAAATAAATTCACATTATTTGTTAATATCTTTTTCCAGAGACCGAATATTAGACATACTGAAATGTTAGGCTATTTGTCGAAACTTTTTTTATTCAAATGCTTATCATTTTATAATTATGCTCCATTAATGCAAGAATGTAACACGTAACCTCAGCATGGGTAACGTTCCTCTCAGTCATTTTAATGAATGTTGTGCAGAATTATCTTTCGGAATGGTCGCCTATATTTTAAGTCGTCGTAAGGACTAATGTGGAAAAGTATGGACAAGTGTGGAAAACATAAACACGTCTCAAAGGTTTGTAAGTTGCACGACCAAAACATCCTCTGTGTAAAAGTATAAGCTAAAAATGCAACACCAGCAACGTCATATGCAGTATGAATGACTGTCAGAGTGATTAATATGTGCTTTTATTGTCTTCACAGTTGTGTGTTCCGTCGACGGAAATCTAGCCTGAGGGGAAGAGCCTCATCCCAGACTCTGTTTGCCTTTCTTTTGTGAGTAAAATTCATCATAAGTCATACATAAATACATAAACTTTGACCCCTCTAAACATCTGGGCCACGTGCCTAGAGCAGATAGGTGATTTATTACTGCCAGTTTGAAGGAACATGATTTGAATGCAGAAGCTTGACTTTGGGCCTTATGTGTTGGTGTTTGTGCTGTTCTCCTGTTTAAAATCTGCAGTAGCAGGTTGTAACAAACCTCAATAATACACTACTAAAGATTGTTTATCTTAAGGGGTTTGTTGCAAGGGCACCTGATCTTACTCCAAATTCACTGTCACAGATTTGGACAATGCTGTCAGAGATGACAGAATTGTGAAATATTATATTTTTAAAAATCTGCACAGATTTAATGGGTAATATTTAAAGCCCTTTATCCCACACTGCATTTGCATATTACACTCCATTGCTTGCAATGATGGCTTGTGTTGTGAAATGTAGGTCATAGCGCAACCTTTGCCGTTTTCGCCTCTGAGCTTTTTGCAGAGCATTGCCACTAAATATAATCTCATGGTTTGGAAGAGATGCATCCATGCCTTTCGTAAATCATTATATGCATATTAGGCCCTGTGTTTGTGTATTTTTGTTTAATGTAATGAATATTCGATGGTTTGATTAAGTGTTTGCCATGTATAAAGGGATTAGCTGGTTTCATGATATCGACGTGAGTCAAATAGGGGTTGGCAAGTGTAGTGCATTATTTTATTGTGCACATATGATGTCTAATATGAAACCACAGTTGTAGTGACCGTACTAAACATGACACTGTCCCGTCGATCGGTCGCTCAGGTGAGTGCTGCTGTTGGCTTCTCTCTTGGCATTCACCGCGTGCCTTAATTGTATTGAAATTAAATCAAGGTCCACTGTGAACACAAAGAGCAAAAACCCAAGTTCCTGAACGTCATCCAACTTTGTCTTTTCCTACAAACTCTCTCCGTTCCTCTTCATCTTTGCAGTCTGGTCTGTTCTCACGGCTAACGGTTCAATCATGCACTTCAGCTTCCCTGCCGGTTCACTCACTCGTCTGTATTTGGTCCCTATGCACTGTGCACATCCTGTTCTTGTCCTTCAGTACAATACCACATTTCTGGGCTCATCTAAAATCCCTCTCTTCTCACCTGTCCTCCTCCTCCTCTTGCATCTGATGTGGGCTTCGGTGGTGTTAGTGCAGTCCAAACAAGAAGTCCTAATCTTGCACACACACACTCATGGACACGTACAAACACACTATCGCACATCTTTCCGAGGGTTCTCCCTGTGCGTGCGGGTTTTAAATTGCATAATTCCCCGTCTTCCATCGGCCTAGATGTGTGGTAAGAACAAAACATACATGATAGTGCAACACAGTGTTTCTCATGCTCATATTTTACACACATTCAGAAACACATTTACAAAAACATTCAGACATTCACAATTCTAGCTATATCCTGTACCGAATGCATGTCCTGAGAAATTACAAGACAGCGAGAGAGAGGAGACCGAGAGATAAAGAGGATCTACCTTTTGTTGTACCCATTCTCCTAGAAGCCCTGGCACCTGCCTTCTGTTTCATTCCAGCAGACCTTTTCCCTCTCTCGGTCAAACAAAGAGGACCAGCAAAGCTGTGTGTGAGGGATGTGCGAAGATGCAAAGCTATGCACTGCTCTCCCCCTCGTCTATTCAGCACGTCCACCGCCATGATGAGACGGCTGCCAGCATCACAATGTAAAGCTAGCGCTTCCCTATGACAGTCTGTTCTCTCCCTCTCTCCCCCCACCTCTCTCTCTGTCTTTTTATTTCGCTCACTCTCTCTCAGCATACGCACACCTATACGGCAAGTTAAAAAAAAGTACGGTTAAAATCACATCACATAAAATGAGTTGAAGCTGACGATGACAGTTGAAATAAATGCATACGTTACAGAGAAGATGTACATGTATTTCGGAAAATAATAATATTCCAAAACACATCAGTTACAGCCACAAGCATCAGATCACATACAACAATTACCCAGAAGCACGGTCTATTTCTTCAAAACTACTGACAATAAGCAGCTAATTATCTTTAGCTTCATTCTTTTTCCTCGCATTCTCGCTCTAGCGGAGAAAACAGAAATGTATATCCTGGTTTTTCCCATTCTCTTAGTTCCGTCAGTTCTTGCTATTCTCCATCCAAGGGTGAACAGGGTGTCCTGCTGAAGCTCTCTGCCCCAGCTGAGGCTCCTTTTCCTGGGGGCTGGAGAGCAGTATTGCAAGGGGAGATGTTCTGGGGGTGGGGTGGAGAAGGTTTAGGGGAGAGGTAGGCAGGCAGGTAGGAAGGTTTTCACGCATGCAGGAAGGGAAAATCAGGTGCTGGGATGTTGCAGCCGCTTAAAAACCAAAACCAAAAAAAAGAGGAGTATTCTCCCCCGTGAGAAAATCAGCCTGAGAAAATCCATTTGTGCACGCCACAAAAAATGTTTTTTTTTTTTTTTTTTACAAAAAGCTGAGAATGCGCATATACATATATAAACACATCATATATGTATACATATCCAGAGGAAGAGGGAAGGAGCAGGTATGCAAGGGATGAGCGGTTCACACACACGGTCACACACACACTGTGCTGCGCACACGCTCGGGCTACAATTTATGCTCTCCGTTTGACACCACCCCCACCTCTCTGGGCACATACATACGCGCTCACACACACACACGTGCGTGTAACGTCCCAGCTGATCATGGTAGAGAGATTAGATTGTAGGGACAGCTGGCAGGGATTACAGACGCAGGGGGTTGACTGAGCAGGGGAGGGGAAACCCTCTCTGACCAAGATGTATACACACACACATACACATACAAAATAAATTGCACATAAATGCAGGAAGAAAGTGTGCAGCATCACATTTACTTAGAAATATGATATCATATAAATGGCTGCTATATTTGGAAATAAGAACACACACTCATAAACTGAACGCAGGACGCACCTAGTGCACATCTAGATGCTGAGGGTTAATGTATGGTAATGACTGCTAGGAGGTGTCGGGGTGACACAGTTGACCTTTGACCCTGGACCACTCCATCTTTTCAGGGTGATCAGCTGATTGCAAAAGGGGGGTCATGGGGAGGCAACCCAATATGCTCCCCTGACACGCACGCACTCATGCACTCACGCTGAGACAATACATCATGCATGATATAACACAAGCCGCTACTTCGCTAATGTGCAATATCACTGCGAACCAGTGGGACGGGAGCTTAAAATGCAAAATACATTTTTGTTTTAAATCATTTTTTCTTAGTTCGTCCGCATCACACTTGATAGCGTTAAAACTGGAAGCATTTCAAAGTGTGAAACCCCAGTGAACTAGCTCTACAGAAGAGATCAAAACGGTTTAGTCTTAGATTTTGAACAGCATTTGAACTATATCTGACATTTAAATCAATTCTATGCTTCAGCATTTTCTGGTGCGGAGGACTGCAAGAACATTCTGTTCTTTGAGAGAAAGTTATTTTAAAATGTTATGCAAAATATGCATGGCTATTTAATAAACCTTTTTTCACTATTTTTTATGAAGAAAAATAATATGAGTTAATGCCATTAAAATACTTAATAATATATATGGAGTGTAATAATTATATTAAATATATTCATATAAAACATGTAAAAAAAAATTATAATGATAAATTAATTAAACATCACCACACAATGATAGACAGAATGCCATTTTTTTAATGGAGCTAAAACATAAAAGAGAATATTCTACAACTTAAAAGCGAAGTCTTAAAAACTGTGTGTTTGTGTGTAGCATGCTGAATGTCTCCTTGCTCTATTTATGTCTTTGTCAATGTGTGTATATTCCTGCATGAGATCATTATTGTATATTTTTGCAGTTTATGTGTGTACGCCCCAGGCAAATCAAACGGAAATTAAATGTATGTAAATGGAAGAGATTAGGGCCTGTGTGTGTTTGTGTCAGTACTAGCCTAGCCTGCATTCCTCCTAGCAATAGCGTCCTCTGAGTGCACTTTAATCTGTAATCTGACAGATTAGCAAATAGGAGCGTTTGAGCTGGATTATCACCTCGTTACAAATGACGAGCATCCCAGGACCTGCTCCTTGTGTGTGTGTGTGTGTGTGTGTGTTCGTATGTGTTAGCATATTTTGTATTCTTTGTGTTTTGTGTCTGTGCAGTTGTGTGCTTTTAAATACACTTCCATGATGTGGAATCATGATGTGGGTGTTTCTTCAAAAGTGACACCACATTCTTTGCGTTTTGTTAAAATTTTAATATTAAATGGTTAAACAAACGCTACAGTTTTTCTGAACAGAATTCATCACATTTTTAAAAATTATGTTTTTAAATATTTTTGTAATATATATATTTTTTCTGTCCTGTATGTAAAAAGGACCAATTTTCAGGCTTTGTTGAAAGATTAATTTATTTTTATTTATTTTAATTCCAGAATTCATATCTTGTATGTCAGCATCAGATTCAAATTTTCATCAAAAAATAAATAAATGAAAACAAAGCATCCAGATGTTCTGTTGAAGCGGTCGGTCTTTGCGCTGCATCATTTTAAAGAGGTCACATAACAGATGGGTTGCTAAAACGTCCTCACTGACGAGCCGAAATGGGACATTTACAAGATTACAAAGACTAAAGCTAAATGAGTTTAAAACCTAAACCTGCAGTATTTAAGGGTGAAAGATCATTATTTTAAACTAATGCAAGCTACAGTGTGCAAATGGGAAAAAAGCAGAGCGATGCACAGTTACACACTCAGGTGTGTGTACTGTTTCTTGTTTTTTTGGGGTTTTTTTTGCTTTTGTATGTTCCTGCATTAAAGGTATATGGGTATAATGCTGAGTTGGCCATTATATGTGTGTCTCAGGAGTGTGTGTTTGCCTATGGGCTATGCACAAATGTGTATGTGAGCGAGCACTGATGCGTGTGTGTGTCTGTGCAGAATGCTTGGTAGGTCGTTTGGCAAATCCGGCAGCATGTGCTATTGTGTTCGCCGCTACACTAACATGCATACACATGCATATATAAAAGTGAAATGCACAGACAAATGTGACAAAAAATACAATTTGTTGTTAAATCAACACATAGACAACACAAAAAGGATAGTTCACCTGAAAATGAAATTCTTGCCACTATTTATTCACCCTCATGTTTTTCCGAACCTGTATGAATTTCATTCTTCTGTGGAACACAAAAGATATTGTAAAGAATGTTGCAACTGTTTTTCAAAAGGCTTTTTTTCTTCTTCAAAATATCTGCAAAAAAGTACAATTTCGTTGTTAAATCAACACATAGACAACACTTTAAAGGGATAGATCCCCTAAAAATAAAAATCCTGGCGTCATTTATTCACGCTCATGTTGTTCTTCTGCGAACCACAAAAAAATATATTTTGAAGAATGTTGCAACTGTTTTTTGAAAGGCATTTTCCAAAATATCTAAAACTAAAAGTACAGTTTGTTGTTAAATCAACACATAGACAACCATTTAAAGGGATAGTTCACCTAAAAATGAAAATTCTGTTGCTATTCATTCACCTTCATGTTATTCCAAACCTAAATGACGTTATAACCTATTTATAACCTACTTTATAACCTATGAGATTTTTTTTAAATGTTGCAACTGCTTTTCAAATGGAATTTTACAAAAGCTCTTCCTTTGTGTTCCTTAGAAGAAAAAAATTCATCCCGTTTTGGAATGGCGGGATGGTCACAGAATTTTTTTTTTGTGTGTACTGTGCCTTTAACACAATAACTAGTATATAACATGCAGATGATGGTCAGTTAGTTCCTCTAATCCTATCGGTAAATATTATCCCACTAAGTGTAAAAGGGACAGCACTGCAGTTTTAATTTATCATAAAGTACATGTATTTAGCACTAAAGCTCATATTGGAATACAGTACAGAATATGATGCTAGTTATGGCAGTGCACAGTGCAGTCTCCAGAGTACAGCTGAAAATATGAGCTCTCGGTCATGGGCGCTTCATTGTGGATGGATCGATGCCCTGCTCTCCCCCTGGGTCACTGGTGTCCTCCAGTGCCCTTAATATTAGTGGCAATTTCATTAGCTCTGACCACATCGCTCTGATAGAGAGGCTTTAATTTTTTTTTTATTAAAATGACATCTACTGGTGTCCCATTTTACATTTCTTTCATACCTCAGATGATTATTTGTTCTCTTTGTAGTCGAAGCTCTGGAATACTGCATTTGAAATGGGATATAGCGTCTTCGAATGCTTCTTGAAATAATGATGCTCCTAGACCCTACAACATGACTAATTCCAAAAAAAAGGATGGGAACTTCTCTGTTTCTCTCTCCCTCCCTTTTTTCTCAGTACACCCCAGTAGTCAGCCCAGCAACAGCACACAGAAGCTCCCAAAAGCAACCCCCTTCTCGCCGCCTCTGCATCCAGTGACCCAGTTTCCACCCCCTCTCTAAAACAAATCACTCCATGACCCACTTCTTCGTTTCACACCACTTTAGTGTGCGCGTGTGCTTCACAAAATTATGCATCTGTATTCGCTCTGAGGTTCAGAGGCATTTCATCTGTGCGTTTGGTTACGGAAAAATACTGCTGGCAGTATAAAATCCCCCATGTTAATAATAAGCGCACAGAGAACTGTGTATTTCTCTTGCTTCTGTATGTAACATCAGTATGTCTGATTATGTTAAAATAGTCCTTCAAGGTCAGCGTTGCCTCCTGACCGTCTATAAAAAGGATTTTTGCAATCACAATTATTTTAATCTTCCAATTTTTTGTGGTTCGTTGTTGGATAAGTGCGTGATTTGTAATTAAAGTGCGCCATCAACGGCTGAATTATTTTCTGATTAATGTATGTGATAATGCTCATACTTCTGATAATAAGAACATGTCAGTGAGACTGTCAGAGGCGGCAACAGGAAGGCAAATCAATTTTGCGGCTTATTTAAGCAGAGAGACGAATGGTAATTTTTAATAATCAGCTACGCTCAGACGGTAAGTCACACATACAAGCAAACTCAGTTTATAAGGATTAATCCGTAAACATTTGTAATATTTAATCACAATGTTTTTCTGTAAAGGCAACTGCATGCTGTCAGACTCTGGAGTTGATTTAGGTTTCATTTAAATGAGCAGTAGGCCATGGTCATCTTTACAAATTTTTACTCAAAGGTGCATCGTTTAGAAAATCGTAGAACATGTGCATCTTTAATGAATGCAGTGCCATAAGTGTGTGCACTGCAATAAATGAAAGGCAGAGGGTCAGATTGACCCTGAATGGCTGGTGACAGGTTACACATAATTTAATTTTCCTTAGTTAACTTCCACCACCCGTCTCTCTTTATTTTTATTTATTTGGTATGTCAGAAAAATATCAATTTACTGTATATCTGGCAGCTAGAAGAGATGTAGCTATGTTTACTGCCTTAAATTTCAATATTTAATTTTATTAGGGAAATACAAGCCATTATATCTGTTTAATATTTTACCCCAGTTTTTACC